ATACTAACTACACGAATACCACTGGTGTCACACTTACAACCACTCACATCATTTGACATAAACAGACAATATTAATCTCAGCTTAAAAATAATGAATCCTATGAACTTACCAATACTGAAACTATGTACTGTGACCAAAACAAAAGCATTCACCATTGCTAAACTCACAAACTCTAGTATTTCCTTAGCCATAACTACCAACTTACCTAAATTTGTAATATTTTTAAAATAAGGAATTAAACTAAGTCTGCCCTGAAATGCCTAGCCATGCTAGTGTTCAGTGGGAACAACTCTGAATCATTATTTAAACTACATAGTAAACACACAACAACCAAATTCTGTAATCACCATGTAATCTTTAATAGAGAATAAACTTTGAATTAATTTAATCGATGCTGTTTACATATTTAGACCACTTAACCCTATCTTATGTACGTTTCATACTATGAAAATAATGTCTTCTCCCGCACACATAAGGGGATTACCAACAGACCCTGGCATCTTCAAGCTGGCAACTGACAAGCACTAAGTCATTCCGATCAGCCGGCTGTAGGCTCGTATGTTATTTGCGTCAGCTACAGCAAAGCCTGTGTTTAATCAGGCTTGATCACCAGTGAGCCTGGTCTCAGACCGGGCCGCGGGGCGTTGACCCCGGAACTCTCTCCAGGTAATCTCATACTGAGGCTGACACTCAAAACTTTAAGGGTGATGGACTGATACATCGTCTCAAGTATTCTGTTCTATCAACATTTCTGTACTTACTGAGAGCCTACTGTGTAGCGAACTTTACATATAAGATACTAACTGTTGCATATGTTTGACCTAACAACTTACTTACGCATGATCGCTTCGCTTCCTCATCAACATTCCGCTCTAAGTACCCAGAAACTAAAGATTATTATTGTAAAGTAAAATGACACAAGTGCAACAAGTGAACATTTATTGTGGCAACGTTATCGCTCTCCAGAGCTTTATCAGCATTACAAACATACATGGACACAGAGGTATATAAGGTCAGATGTGAGTGATTATGAGTACCATTGAAATGGTACCTCACTATATTCACCCATCTGACCTTATATACCCTCTGTTCCATGTATTGTTGTAAGCTTGATAAGCTCTGAAGCGAACGTTGCCACATAAATGTCACATAGTTGCACTTGTGTCCTTTTACTTTAATATTGTCCGGTAATTCTACCCAACTTATTACAAGATTATTTATTATATTATTATAATCATGGGGGAGCGCTAAACCCGTAGGATTATACAACCCAGAAACTAAAGAATTTACCGAAGTGTTTATGGAACGTTATTTCACCTCGTATATCAACCATCATCTGGGTAGTTCTGGTCGTAAACATTTGGACTTTTTCTATTTGATCAGATTTGGGCTACACATCTACAATGGCCTATGTACATTATAAAAACTATAGGGCCCTATATGACTCGTAGGTTCCTAAAGGCCATTATTAGACCCACCAGTCTCACATCCGATGGAGTTACTCTGGTTATATGCTAGCTATCATACTTCTAAATCATTTTCTTTAATTTTGCTCTAAGGTCTTTTTTTCCTCCAAGGCTGTGTTCAGTATCTGGTCATCTCTCTTAGCTTCCCCAGTGTACTCACCTAATTGTGGTTACAGGGGTCGAGACTCAGCTCCTGGCCCCGCTTCTTCACTGATCGCTACTAGGTCCTCTCTCTGCTTCATGAGCTTTGTCATACCTCGTATTAAAACTATGTATGGTTCCTGCCTCCACTACAACACTTGCTAGACTATTCCACTTCCTGGCGACTCTATGACTGAAGAAATACTTCCTACCATCCCTCTGACTCGTCTGAGTCTTCACCTTCCAATTGTGACCCCTTGTTTCTGTGTCCCCTCTTTGGAACAACCTTCTCTCTACCTTATCAGTATTTGTATGTCGTTATCATGTCTCCCCTGACCCTCATGTCCTCCAATGTCGTCAGTCCGATTTCCCTCAACCTTTCATCGTAGGACATACCCCTGAGCTCCGGAACTAGTCTTGTTGCAAACCTTTGCACTTTCTCTAATTTCTTGACGTGCTTGACCAGGTGGGTGAATATTACTGATTGTTGATAGGCTTCCTTTGCTACATGTTTTTGTCTTAGTACGATAAACTTACTAAGCTAATTCAGTGGTCCTGTCAAGATTTCAATCTGGGAAGACTTAATAATAATAATAATTATAATAATAATAATAATAATAATAATAATAATAATAATAATAGTGATATCTTAATTACTACAAGTACATGTACAAGGTATACAGTCCTATCTGACATCAATGACATACTACTATATAGAAAGCCGCTTGTTATACAGAGCATTTCGGGAAAATTAGGCCAGTTTTATCCCAGGATGCGACCTACACCAGTCGACTAACACCCAGGTATACATTTTACTGATGGGTGAACATAGACAACAGGTGTAAGGAAACACGCCCAATGTTTCTACCCTCGCCGGGAATGGAACCCTGAATCTGGCCGTGTGAAGCGAGCTTTAGTTGATTAGATGCTGTTTAAAAAAATAAAAGAAATCGCTTTTGAAAACATTTAAACTGTGGCTTTTTGTGGTTACTGGTCAATATAAGTACATTGAAAATTAGTTATTAATTGAAAAATAAGTATTTGCATCTGAGAAGGCCTCTTAGGCACTATAGCCCCATATCCTCCGTGCCTGCGCTACTGGTTGTCTTAGTTAAACAAATTAGGCACAGGTACACCTAAGTACAATTACCATACATAGTATATATTATCATGGATAACCCAAAGAAAGTTAGTGACTTATTTCAATTGGCAATAAACTTGTTTCATGGATCTTGTCAGTCAGTGTGGGTGTGCTCAGAAACAAGATGTTTGGGACTATATAGCGACCTCTACAAGCCATGAACAACTTTCCTGCCCTGGGGAGTTGATTGGAACTCTCCATGAATCACTCACATCCTTGAGACCCCTATCATGTGTGTAAGAGTTGCTGGAGTGACAAAGGGGGAGGGGAAGAGATTAAACACGTGGAAATAACTTTGAATAATGATTATTATTATTAATGCATAAAGGTGGCCACGCTCCTGTATATCAGGTTAATAAAAGTATATCTGGCAGATGGTCGAGCTTTGGAACATTACATTTTTTTATTTGTCTATTTGACACGAAGGCAACCGAGCCCACATGACTCACTGGTTAATCTATGTATATATACATAGTTTATGCAGCATTATTTTGTTATATTTGTCCGATATTAGTTAGGCTCACGACAAATAATGAAGTCAAACTGAATCCAATTCGTATACAGTGACTGACAGCTGGTATATTTTATAAAGAATGTAGAACAGCGATACACCAGCAACCTCCCGTGATCTTGAAGGTCACGGTAATTTAGCAATAAGTAATGTGCTCTTGCAATCGTTTGAAGAGATGCTATTTCTTTCCCATTTTCTAAAAATCAGAAACGGAATTAAGCTGTGTGTACATATTAAACAAAGATATGATCTCACTGTAAACCGAAGTAAGACAACTGGAAGTATTCTTTTGTAGAGTTTGGTCGTCTTACATTGCTCTTTTGTTACCCTTCTGGTTTATAATGTGGGCGTGAGCAGTGACGGTGGTGAGGATACTGGTGTCTATACTTTACCTTGGCGTCAGTTTTGTTGACGTTTGTTGGTTTTCTGTACTTGTGGACGACACCTGTTTGAGTCTTGTGATGTGTTTTAGGAAAGGTGAGCTTCCTAAGCTTGTGTAAGCTCACAAAGTAACTCTGTGTTACTTTTAAAGCCAAATTAAGCAGCTGTCGAGGAAATTTGCTCTAGACTTGCGGTTGTTGCATGGATACTTTGCACGGTATGCAGTGTCTTGCTTTCTCTCAAGTGGCCGTCATGTACTACTTCATTTTTTTTTAAACGAATTTAGGTCTTGATCGACACTTGCATAATTATGTGTATTGGGAGTAGATATCGTACTGGCCTAACACCCCATATCCTTACTTTGTCTCTGGAGAAATTCTCAAAGATTGTCCTTATCACCCCATGCTGGGTGAAGATAAGATATGATAAGCTTCATTCATTCAGGAAATTCAAAAATTATTTTACAGTAATGTAAATTCGTACAATGAATTATTTTACAGTAGTGTATATTTGTTCAGTGATTCTGAAGGCTTATAAATGTAGGCATATATTATTATGTACTTTAATCCAGAATTCTATATATAAATAAAAAAAAATAGGGCCAGAGCTATTGAAGTGGCAGCTGAGTCCCAAAGTGTATACAGCTGCTGAGCCAGGATCTGTATGAGGAGCACCTGCAAGTGGCTATTGACTCGGCATACATTTAACAAGTTTAAAAATTTTAGAAAAGCCAGTGGTATTCACATGTATCAGTGTGAAAATTAGATTTTTTGATATGTGGAGGATAGGGCACAAATTACTGTATATAGTATATATCAGTCACACGAGTAGTAGTCATGCAGTTTGCATATTTGTAGAAATTTTTTGTGTTCATAAACATTTTTTTTTTACGTGACCTGCAAAATAATAACAACATAATTGTAAACATCTTACAGAATGGATTGGGTTTGAACCCATGATATGCCAGTTAAGTATACTGCTTGGCTTTTTTTTGGGCTATCCTAGGTCATTAACCCTCTGGGGCTAATAAAGTCTAATACAATGCCATTGTTGGATTATCCAAAGTTAGATTTAAATCTTCATATTAATGCTTTCTATAATAATCATTTGATTTGTACAAATATTGTAGGAATTTAAAAGAGCTTTCTGTAAAAGATAGTACATGTACATATAAATTTTACCTGAATAAAGCTGACAACCATTTCACTGTTGACATTGAAAACCACAGTCTGTCACCATTTTTTAAAAACTTAAAATAATTATATCTTCTTAATATGGTAGAGAATCTTTTCTAAAGGTAATGACAACAAATATGCAAAACTTGATGTAATATAATCTTAGAATTACACAGGCACAAAATTATAGGTTGGGGAACTGCTCAATCTGAAGCCAATTTAGATTAATGCCATTGCTCAAACCAGTCCTCTTCTTGATATTTTGCTAGTAAGTCTTCCATACTATCCACTGATTGCAAGAAACTGCCATTCAGCTATCAAACTGTCTTATAAAGTGCCCACAATTCAGTAATTTGGCCAATTTTGCACTACAGTATTTTCAACAAATTCATGTTTTTAAACAGTCCAATACAAACAATGTAGGCATTCCGATCACTAAAGCAGCCTTTCCTCTGTTCATCAGTCACATCCCTAGGCCTCTTCTATATAACTTATGACTTCCGTTTTGAATCCATCTTCACAAAAAAACTTTTTTCCCCCAATTTCTCGGCTAATTAACAATAACCAAGAATACTTGGTAATGGGAGTTGTCACAGCTCTCTTTGCTGATGACACTGTGCTCTTGGGAGATTCTGAAGAGAAGTTGCAGAGATTGGTGGATGAATTTGGTAGAGTGTGCAAAAGAAGAAAATTAAAGGTGAATACAGGAAAGAGTAAGTTATGAGGATAACAAAAAAGATTAGGTGATGAAAGATTGGATATCAGATTGGAGGGAGAAGTATGGAGGAGTGAACGTATTCAGATATTTGGAAGTGGACGTGTCAGCGGATGGGTCTATGAAAGATAGGTGAATCATAGAATTAATGAGGGAAAAAGAGTGAGTGGTGCACTTAGAATCTGTGGAGACAAAGAACTTTGTCCTTGGAGGCAAAGAGGGGAATGTATGAGAGTATAGTTTTTACCAACGCTCTTATATGGGTGTGAAGTGTGGGTGATGAATGTTGCAGCGAGGAGAAGGCTGGAGCAGTGGAGATGTCATGTCTGAGGGCAATGTGTGGTGTGAATATAATGCAGAGAATTCGTAGTTTGGAAGTTAGGAGGAGGTGCGGGATTACCAAAACTGTTGTCCAGAGGGCTGAGGAAGGGTTGTTGAGGTGGTTCGACATGTAGAGAGAATGGAGCGAAACAGAATGACTTCAAGAGTGTATTAGTCTGTAGTGGAAGGAAGGCGGGGTAGGGGTCGGCCTAGGAAAGGTTGGAGGGAGGGGGTAAAGGAGGTTTTGTGTGCGAGGGGCTTGGACTTCCAGCAGGAATGCGTGAGCGTGTTTGATAGGAGTGAATGGAGACAAACGGTTTTAATACTTGACGTGCTGTTGGAGTGTGAGCAAAGTAAAATTTATGAAGGGATTCAGGGAAACCGGCAGGCCGGACTTGAGTCCTGGAGATGGGAAGTACAGTGCCTGCACTCTGAAGGAGGGGTGTTAATGTTGCAGTTTTAAAAACTGTAGTGTAAAGCACCCTTCTGGCAAGACAGTGATGGAGTGAATGATGGTGAAAGTTTTTCTTTTTCGGGCCACCCTGCCTTGGTGGGAATCGGCCAGTGTGATAATAAAAATAAAAAAAAATACTTGGTAATGGTATAAGCCATATCAGTAATTGAAGTAAACCTCTTAAAAACCCAGAAAACTGACCAAGGGGAGTGAGGGTTAGGGGAACTCTATCTTTCCTCAGAAAAATTTCCAAAAAAATCTCTTTCCATCACTTTCAGGCATATTTCAGGCTATTTCCTGTTTGAAATTGAGCAAAATCATCTTTGTCTTCTGTTATATCAACTGACACCAAGCAACAGCTAATAAAACCATGAAAAACACTCTGAGATGTTCCCCCATTCTTTTTTTTAATTCAAACACAAGATCAGAAGTTAAGGTAAGATTTTGTTCAGATTTTTTAAACTAGAGAGTTACACACCCAGGATAACCCTATAAAGTCAGTGTGTCGTTGGTGACTGTTATTTCTATTGGGTCCTTTAATCTTGTTCCCCCAGGATGTGGCTCACAACAGTTGACTAACATCCAGTACCTACTTCTAGGTGAACAGGAGTAGCAGGTGTAAGGAAACATGCCCAACATTTCTACCTATACCAGGGATTTAAATTATTATTATTTTTATTATTATTATTATTATTATTATTATTATTATTATTATTATTATTATTATTATTATTATTATTATTATTATTTTTATTATTATTAATTATAACTAATTGTTGCTTTACTACCACTGTTCTAATACAGTTGAGCTACAACGAAAATATTTATATTATAGGTATGAGGCTGTCTCCATAAAAGATGTACCTGAAGGCTTGACGAAGATGAAGCCAACTTCAAGGTAACAAAATTTTAGATAACAGGTGAAGATCAACAGCTTCTACCTGAGAAGATGCCGTCCTTATTTGCGTGCCTTGTGTGTGGTGGAAGAGGGGAGAGTGATGATATTCGAATGCTAGACTATTGTCATGCTTCTCTCACTGATGTTCCTTCTGATGTCTTTGCCTGTGAACGTACACTTGAAGAGCTATATCTTGATTCCAACCAGGTAAGTTTTCAAGCAAGTATAATAACAGGCAGTAAATTTGCTAGTTAATTAATTTTCAGTAACCTATAAGAATTTTTTTCTAAGTTTTCTCCTGTTGTAGTTAGTTTTTGTACTGTACTCCCTGAGTGTTCTACATTTGTGATTCTGTCTGATACAAGCATGTATGAAAATGAATTTCTTTAGAATCTATATAGTTTCTTTGAAAGTTTAGTTGTATATAGTAAGCATCAATCTGTCTGGTAGTCCACATTATTATTTAATCAGAGAAACTGCTACCTTACCTCACAGTGCCTGTATATCCTGTACACTGACTTGTTCAGCAAGTTCTGAGACTAATTATGTTTAAACATACCTAGTGCCTTGTGACTTTGCCTTTTCATAGAGTAGTCTATCATGTTTCTCTCCACTGTCAGTACTGTGATGCATGGCACATACACAATGAGGGCCTGGCACAATGGGCTTTTCTTGCAAAGTCAGATACCCAATCAGGGTCTGTTTTGCTGTGTTTCCTTGAGACTTTGAAAGCAGTTGGTTGATGGTTTGACTTTGTGGAACAAAGTATTGGTACTTCATGCCCTCATTGTGGAATGTCCAGTGTACCAAAGAAATGGCAACATTTTTCCACCACCTGCTAAACACTGGAAAATGATTATGCATTTCCAACTGAACTGGTGTTTTTTGAGATATTGCATATGTTCATATAATGCAATTCTTATTTGAAACCCTTGGCATTTGTATAATAAAATCATTCTCTGAATACATTTCTTTTACTTAAAATTATGCAGCAGAAATGTATATAATTGTAAGTCATTCTCTAACACTAGACTCTGGTTGGTGTACTCCCAGTTCCTGCACTTGTGGGTCTTCTCAGTGTGTTCTTTGTTTTTATTTTTATTTATTTTATAGATTCTCGTTAGTTATAATGGTACCACAATGCTTAGTAAGCACTGTGGTGCCATTATAGTATCAGATGATTATGGATAAGTGATTTTCCTAGACTTGGGCATTTTCCAGAACTAGTTAGTGGATAATTAACTGGGTTACTTAACCTATCACAGTAAGTAATTTGATCTATTCTTTTTGAAGAAAAAAATGGAGATTTTTGTAACTTAAAAATTTATTAGATGGTAGTTTTCTTTTAAGTGATTACTTCTGTGGCCATTTACAACAAAAATTACTGCGTAACTTTCAGATCTTAAATACTTCAACTTGTGTTTTGTCCGTTCAGGACCGTTATCAAGTTGCAAATAATACCAGGTCAGATCAATATTAGGGCTGATTATTAAATCAACATTTATACTTAACATACTTTCAAATTTGTTGGTTGTGAATTGTTCCAGCTATAGTCTTGTGACTTGTATTGGCTATATAGATAGAGATTGTTTATTTGAAACTAAGAAACAGGATAACTTGCAATTTGTACTATAATATGTGCATTTTCAAAATGAGTCTGTATTCATGTATTCATATTTCTTTCATAAATGTAAGCAGTTCTGAACTGCTGTTTACTTTTTTCAGCTAAGTGAGTTGCCACGACAGTTGTTTTACTGCCATGGTCTCCGGGTACTTGGTTTGAGTGACAACGAACTGTCATCTTTACCTCCAGCTGTGGCATCTCTTATCAACCTTACATCCTTAGATCTTAGCAAAAATGGTAATACAGTAAAATTAGTTGCTTAAATTACTTAATTTAATAAGTATGTATGGGGAATCAAATTCAAAATGGGAATTGACACAGTTACTTTTTGCTGATGATACTGTGCTTATGGGAGATTCTAAAGAAAAATTGCAAAGGTTAGTGGATGAGTTTGGGAATGTGTGTAAAGGTAGAAAGTTGAAAGTGAACATAGAAAAGAGTAAGGTGATGAGGGTGTCAAATGATTTAGATAAAGAAAAATTGGATATCAAATTGGGGAAGAGGAGTATGGAAGAAGTGAATGTTTTCAGATACTTGGGAGTTGACGTGTCGGCGGATGGATTTATGAAGGATGAGGTTAATCATAGAATTGATGAGGGAAAAAAGGTGAGTGGTGCGTTGAGGTATATGTGGAGTCAAAAAAACGTTATCTATGGAGGCAAAGAAGGGAATGTATGAAAGTATAGTAGTACCAACACTCTTATATGGGTGTGAAGCTTGGGTGGTAAATGCAGCAGCGAGGAGACGGTTGGAGGCAGTGGAGATGTCCTGTCTAAGGGCAATGTGTGGTGTAAATATTATGCAGAAAATTCGGAGTGTGGAAATTAGGAGAAGGTGTGGAGTTAATAAAAGTATTAGTCAGAGGGCAGAAGAGGGGTTGTTGAGGTGGTTTGGTCATTTAGAGAGAATGGATCAAAGTAGAATGACATGGAAAGCATATAAATCTATAGGGGAAGGAAGGCGGGGTAGGGGTCGTCCTCGAAAGGGTTGGAGAGAGGGGGTAAAGGAGGTTTTGTGGGCAAGGGGCTTGGACTTCCAGCAAGCGTGCGTGAGCGTGTTAGATAGGAGTGAATGGAGACGAATGGTACTTGGGATCTGATGATCTGTTGGAGTGTGAGCAGGGTAATATTTAGTGAAGGGATTCAGGGAAACCGGTTATTTTCATATAGTCGGACTTGAGTCCTGGAAATGGGAAGTACAATGCCTGCACTTTAAAGGAGGGGTTTGGGATATTGGCAGTTTGGAGGGATATGTTGTGTATCTTTATATGTGTATGCTTCTAGACTGTTGTATTCTGAGCACCTCTGCAAAAACAGTGATAATGTGCGAGTGTGGTGAAAGTGTTGAATGATGATGAAAGTATTTTCTTTTTGGGGATTTTCTTTCTTTTTTTGGGTCACCCTGCCTCGGTGGGAGACGGCCGACTTGTTGAAAAAAAAAAAAAAAATGTTGAGTTCATGCACTTGTTAAAAGAAAGAAACTGATTAATGTGATTTGTGATGCAAAAGATAGATATATTAGGAAATATAAAAATCTAGAAATCAGTAATTGCCGAGGCAATTCGTAGCCATCTTGAAAGGCATAAATTGATTAATGAATCTCAGCATGCTTTTACAAAGGAGTGTTCCTGTCTTGGGAATTTACTAACTTTTTTCACTAAGGTATTTGAGGAGGTAGATCATGATATTAAATATGATATTATGTATGTAGACTTCAGTAAGGCTTTCGATAGAGTTCCACATCAGAGGCTGTTGAGGAAACTTAAGACACATGGAATAGGAGGAGAAATTTCTTCCTGGGTAGAGGCATGGTTGACAAATAGGCAGCAGAGAGTTTGCATAAATAAGAAGAAATCAGAATGGGGGCACATCACAAGCGTTGTTCCACAGGGGTCAGTGTTGGGCTCTTTGTTGTTCACAATTTCCATAAACAACATAGATGAGGGAATAAATAATGACATAAGCAAATTCGCTGATGACACCAAATTAAGCCGTCCAATTCGTGATTTGAATAGACTGATGCAGTGGTCAGAGAAGTGGCAGATGCAATTTAATGTAGACAAATGCAGTTCTAAATGTTGGACAGGAAAATAACCATGCCACATATAAAATAAATACAATGGACCCTCAGATTTCGTAATTAATCCGTTCCAGAGAGAGTGACTTATAACACTTCTTATAACACTTCTGCTTTGTAAAAACCTCTCGTAAGCTACCTTTTTCTCTTTTACACACCCTTTACTTCATCATTCCACCAATCACTCCTCTTTCCTCCTGCCCCCACCCTCCTATAACCACAAACTTCTGCCCCACATTCTAATACTGAATTTTTTAAAACTATTCCAACCCTCTTCAACCCCCCCACTACTCATCTTTGCACTAGCCCACCTTTCTGCCAATAGTCGCTTATATCTCGCCCGAACTTCCTCCTCCCTTAGTTTATACACTTTCACCTCCCTCTTACTTGTTGTTGCCACCTTCCTCTTTTCCCATCTACCTCTTACTCTAACTGTAGCTACAACTAAATAATGATCTACATATCAGTTGCCCCTCTATAAACATGTACATCCTGGAGCCTACCCATCAACCTTTTATCCACCAATACATAATCTAACAAACTACTTTCATTACATGCTACATCATACCTTGTATATTTATTTATCCTCTTTTTCATAAAATATGTATTACTTATTACCAAATTTCTTTCTACACATAGCTCAATTAAAGGCTCCCATTTACATTTACCCCTGCACCCCAAATTTAACCTACTACTTCCCTCCATAACATTTTACCCACTTTAGCATTGAAATCCCCAACCACCATTACTCTCACACTTGATTCAAAACTCCCCACGCATTCGGTCAACATTTCCCAGAATCTCTTTCTCTCCTCTACACTTCTTTCTTCTCCAGGTGCATACACGCTCACTATAACCCACTTTTCACATCCAATCTTTATTTTACTCCACATAATCCTTGAATTTATGCATTTGTAGTCCCTCTTTTCCTGCCATAGCTTATCCTTCAACATTATTGCTACTTCTTCTTTAGCTCTAACTCTATTTGAAACCCCTGACCTAATCCCATTTATTCCTCTCCATTGAAACTCTCCCACCCCCTTCAGCTTTGTTTCACTTAAAGCCAGGACATCCAGTTTCTTCTCATTCATAACATCCACAATCATCTCTTTCTTATCATTTGCACAACATCCACGCACATTCAGACTTCCCACTTTGACAATTTTCTTCTTCTTATTCTTTTTAGTAATCTTTACAGGAAAAGGGGTTACTAGCCCATTGTTCCCGGCATTTTAGTTGACTTTTACAACACGCATGGCTTACGGAGGAAAGATTCTTATTCCACTTCCCCATGGATATAAAAGGAAAAGTAATAAGACCAAGAACTATTAAGATAAAATCAAAGAAAACTCAGATGAGTGTGTATAAATAAACGTTAAAAGAAATGTGTAGTGTGACCTAAGTGTAAGTAGAAGTAGCAAGACGTACCTGTAATCTTGCATATTTATGAACAGACAAAAGACACCAGCAATCCTACCATCATGCAAAACAATTATAGGCTTCGTTTTACACTCACTTGGCAGGACGGTAAATACCTCCCTGGTTTGGTTGCTGTCTACCAACCTACTACCTGGTATACTCAGTAAACTTATTCCTCTATAATTTTTACAGTCTCTTTTGTCCCCTTTCCCTTTATATAAAGGACTATACATGCTCTCCGCCAAACCCTAGGTACCCCTTTCCCCCCTTTCTACGTTTATTAAACAAAAGAACCAACCACTCCAACACTATATCCCCCCCTGTTTTTTAACATTTCTGTCATGATCCCATCATTCCAGCTGCTTTACCCCCTTTCATTTTACTAATGCCTCACGTACCTCCCCCACACTTACATTCTGCTCTTCTTCACTCCTAAAAGATGTATACCTCCCTGACCAGTGCATAAATTACTGCCTCTTTTCTTCCTTAACATTTAAAAGTTCCTCAAAATATTCTCGCCATCCCAAACCTAATACCTCCATCTCCCCATCTACTAACTCCCCTACTCTGTTTTTAACTGACAAATCCATACTTTCCCTAGGCTTTCTTAACTTGTTTAACTCCAAAAAATTTTCTTATTTTCATTAAAATTTCTTGACAGTGCCTCTCCCACTCTATCATCTGCTCTCCTTTTGCACTCTCTCACCACTCTCTTTACCTTTCTTTTACTCTCCATATACTCTGCTCTTCTTATAACACTTCTGCTTTGTAAAAACCTCTCATAAGCTACCTTTTTCTCTTTTATCACACCCTTTACTTCATCATTCCACCAATCACTCCTCTTTCCTCCTGCCCCCACCCTCCTATAACCACAAACTTCTGCCCCACATTCTAATACTGCATTTTTAAAACTATTCCAACCCTCTTCAACCCCCCCACTACTCATCTTTGCACTAGCCCACCTTTCTGCCAATAGTCGCTTATATCTCACCCGTTGTAAATGCCAGTTGTAAATGTATAAACAGAAAGGTGGATGGGGGGCTAGAACCGGTTAAATACTGGACCTGTTAATTCTGGGATCATAGTTTTTGCCAACTTCAACACACTGTAAAATCACATTTTTTTTGTTTTGTTTTGTTTTTCGTTTTTTTTTTCTTAAATTCTACTCATTTTGGTATTACTGTATTTCATTAATAAAAATACACTCTTTTGCTGTGTAAGATTTTTTTTTCTCTAACTTTTACCACATGCAAAAAATTCAGACAATTAAAATTACAGAAAAAGAATCATATTTTGACATCATTAAATTGTAAAATGTAAATATTGCTGGCACTGTTACCAATGAGTAAAAGTTTTTTCATAAAATCCTAAGTTTATATTAGAATCCACTCATTTTAGTCTTATCTGATTTAGAAATCTTTTTTTTTTATCTCCCCTCCTCCCCCAGGAATTTTTATTTGGGGGCATGCCACTTTAAGGGCCAAAGAGAAATACCTCATTATTGCTAAAGGGCTCTTGATTCAAGGAATTGGAACTACCCATTTCTTCATACAGTCAACCTTCATAACTTCCCATTTCCCAGGTTCTGCATAATCCTTGTGAGTTTAGTGTTTTTAAGAATATTATAAAAGAGGTTTTTTGCTTGACCCTCCTTCCCTTTTCTTTGATGTCCTCTTTTCAACATTTCTGTTTCTCTTCCTCTACTATTCCTTTCATTCTTGTTCTGTAGTACAGAATGACCCATACAAGTTTAGCACTTTCTAGGCCTATCATATTAAAATGCAGTCTGATTGCCACCTGTAGAAAAACATCTTTGTACAAGACTGATGTGTATCCTTCTCCATTACTTCAGCAGTGTTGTGCAGCACAGTTTAGTTGAAGCAAAAAATTTATTTTATCAGAGATGTAAAATATAAAAATTATTTTTTGCTTATACATGTACATGTTAGTAGCCTTATAACCCTTTGAGGGTTGAGACCTCCGATCCTTAACTCACTCTCAGGTTCAAAAATTTAAAAAAAAAAAATATATATATATTGTGAAATGATAGAGAATCTTTTCCCGGTGATAATGACACCAAAAGTATGAAAATTGATGGAAAACTAACGAAATTACGCTCTTGTGAAGTTAGCGATATCGGCGATACATTTACGCATCGGTGATTTTGCCCACTTTGTGCCCTACTTTCGGCCAATTCCATTCTTCCAGTTGGCTAAAATAATAGCTCTTTTGGTAGGACCCCATTTGTTCTATCGATTGAGTACAAGAAACCACCCATTTACTGATTTCATCCACCCAATAAAGTGGTCAAATTGGCAATTTGACTATTTTCAACCAAATTTCAAAAGATGCCAATTTCAAAATAGTCCAGAATAAACCAGACAGACATTCCTGGCACTAAAATAACACTTTCTCTGTTCTTTAGTCATGTCTCCAGGCCCTTCTTATATTACTCTTGCTTTCTATTTTGAATCTTTATTCTCACAAAAAATGGTGTAAATAATATCAGCGCACTTGTGAAAGAATATTAGATTCACCAGTTGATGTGTACATGTACTGGACGCGTGGCGTGATTTGTTTACTCTTGAACATCGGCAAAAATCAAACATTTCTGCTACTTTGAGCTCAGTTTCAAGGTACTTTTCATTGTGAAACCAATCAAAATCATCTGTTTCTGTAATATATCCATTATTCTGTCAAATGAGACCAAGAAAATGATAATACAACCATAAATACCATACAGAAATACACTGTAAATTCACTGTTTTAAACCAAAAACACATCTGATTTTTTTTCTCATTATGCACTGCGTGCTGCAGGATTATTTTTATACTGCGCACACTGACCATACAGACCCATTCTTTCATATGTAGGCTGACTATCTTTCTTCCGCCAGGTTTGAAGGTGCTAGAATTTTGGCGTATAAATATGGGACCGTATATGTATTTCTATCAAGCCATACATATACGGGACTGACCCTGAAAGGGTTAGGCATTAATATGTCTTCTTTGTGTTTGCAAAGTTTTGTGAGAGGTATCTTTGTCACTGTGGTCATTTGTTGCTTTCAAACATGTTACTGCACTTCCCTATTTATCTTTGTCCATTAAAATAGGTCCCTGCTCTAACCCTGTTAGAAATGTCTGGATAAATTTGAGCAAGCATGTGTGAGAGTGTTAGAGAGGAATGAATGGAGACGAATGGTTTTCGGGACCTAATGAGCTGTTGGAGTGTGAGCAGGGTAATATTTTGTGAAGGGATTCAGGGAACCTGGTTAGCCAAACTTGAGTCTTGAAAGTGGGAAATACAACGCCTGCACTTCAAAGGAGGGGTTTGTGATATTGGCGGTTTGGAGTGACATCTAAACTGTCGTATCTGAGCTTCTCTGCAAAGACAGTGATTATGTATGAATTGTGGTGAAAGCGTTGAATGAGAATGAAAGTTTTTCTTGCTTTTTGGGTAACCCTGCCTCTGTGGAAATTGGCAAATGTGTTAAAAAAATTCCCATGTGATTTAAGGTGTTTCTTGATACATATCTCTAATATTGAGAAATGACATCCTATTATTGTAGTTCATGTTTTTTTTGCAGCCATTTCCGACATTCCTGATAACATCAAGGGGTGCAAGCAGCTAAGTGTGGTGGATGCCAGCATCAATCCACTGTGCAGACTCCCTGAGGGATTTACACAGTTGCTCTCATTACAAGAACTTTACCTCAATGATACATTTTTGGTGGGTATTTAATATTTCTTAAAAGTTGTTTTTATTATTTGACATGCCTAAATCATTTTCTGTCTCATAAACACGCTAGATAACAGGGATATCTTGCTACTCCTACTTACACTTGGGTCACACTTCACAGACACGCACATGCATATATATATACATACATCTAGGTTTTTCTCCTTTTCCTAAATAGCTCTTGTTCTTCTTTATTTCTTCTATTGTCCATGGGGAAGTGGAAAAGAATCTTTCCTCCATAAGCCATGCGTGTCGTATGAGGCGACTAAAATGCCGGGAGCAATGGGCTAGTAACCCCTTCTCCTGTAGACATTTACTAAAAAAGAGAAGAAGAAAAACTTTATAAAACTGGGATGCTTGAATGTGCGTGGATGTAGTGCGGATGACAAGAAACAGATGATTGCTGATGTTATGAATGAAAGAAGTTGGATGTCCTGGCCCTAAGCAAAACAAAGCTGAAGGGGGTAGGGAGTTTCGTGTGGGGGAAATAAATGGGATTAAATCTGGAGTATCTGAGAGAGTTAGAGCAAAGGAAGGGGTAGCAGTAATATTGAAGGATCAGTTATGGAAGGAGAAAAGAGAATATGAATGTGTAAATTCAAGAATTATGTGGATTAAAGTAAAGGTTAGATGCGAAAAGTGGGTCATAATAAGCGTGTATGCACCTGGAGAAGAGAGGAATGTAGAGGAGAGAGAGAGATTTTGGGAGATGTTAAGTGAATGTATAGGAGCTTTTAAACCAAGTGAGAGAAAATTGTGGTAGGGAGCCTGAATGCTAAAGTAGGAGAAACTTTTAGAGAGGGTGTGGTAGGTAAGTTTGGGGTGCCAGGTGTAAATGATAATGGGAGCCCTTTGATTGAACTTTGTATAGAAAGGGGTTTAATTATAGGTAATACATATTTTAAGAAAAAGGATAAATAAGTATACAAGATATGATGTAGGGCGAAATGACAGTAGTTTATTGGATTATGTATTGGTAGATAAAAGACTGTTGAGTAGACTTCAGGATGTACATGTTTATAGAGGGGCCACAGATATATCAGATCACTTTCTAGTTGTAGCTACACTGAGAGTAAAAGGTAGATGGGATACAAGGAGAATAGAAGCATCAGGGAAGAGAGAGGTGAAGGTTTATAAACTAAAAGAGGAGGCAGTTAGGGTAAGATATAAACAGCTATTGGAGGATAGATGGGCTAATGAGAGCATAGGCAATGGGGTCGAAGAGGTATGGGGTAGGTTTAAAAATGTAGTGTTAGAGTGTTCAGCAGAAGTTTGCGGTTATAGGAAAGTGGGTGCGGGAGGGAAGAGGAGCGATTGGTGGAATGATGATGTAAGGAGAGTAGTAAGGGAGAAAAAGTTAGCATATGAGAAGTTTTTACAAAGTAGAAGTGATGCAAGGAGGGAAGAGTATATGGAGAAAAAGAGAGAGGTTAAGAGAGTGGTGAAGCAATGTAAAAAGAGAGCAAATGAGAGAGTGGGTGAGATGTTATCAACAAATTTTGTTGAAAATAAGAAAAAGTTTTGGAGTGAGATTAACAAGTTAAGGAAGCCAAGAGAACAAATGGATTTGTCAGTTAAAAATAGGAGAGGAGAGTTATTAAATGGAGAGTTAGAGGCATTGGGAAGATGGAGGGAATATTTTGAGGAATTGTTAAATGTTGATGAAGATAGGAAGCTGTGATTTCATGTATAGGGCAAGGAGGAATAACATCTTGTAGGAGTGAGGAAGAGCCAGTTGTGAGTGTGGGGAAGTTCGTGAGGCAGTAGGTAAAATGAAAGGGGGTAAGGCAGCCGGGATTGATGGGATAAAGATAGAAATGTTAAAAGCAGGTGGGGATATAGTTTTGGAGTGGTTGGTGCAATTATTTAATAAATGTATGGAAGAGGGTAAGGTACCTAGGGATTGGCAGAGAGCATGCATAGTTCCTTTGTATAAAGGCAAAGGGGACAAAAGAGAGTGCAAAAATTATAGGGGATAAGTCTGTTGAGTATACCTGGTAAAGTGTATGGTAGAGTTATAATTGAAAGAATTAAGAGTAAGATGGAGAATAGGATAGCAGATGAACAAGGAGGCTTTAGGAAAGGTAGGGGATGTGTGGACCAGGTGTTTACAGTGAAACATATAAGTGAACAGTATTTAGATAAGGCTAAAGAGGTCTTTGTGGCATTTATGGATTTGGAAAAGGCATATGACAGGGTGGATAGGGGGGCAATGTGGCAGATGTTGCAGGTGTATGGTGTAGGAGGTAGGTTACTGAAAGCAGTGAAGAGTTTTTACGAGGATAGTGAGGCTCAAGTTAGAGTATGTAGGAAAGAGGGAAATTATTTCCCAGTAAAAGTAGGCCTTAGACAAGGATGTGTGATGTCACCGTGGTTGTTTAATATATTTATAGATGGGGTTGTAAGAGAAGTAAATGCGAGGGTCTTGGCAAGAGGTGTGGAGTTAAAAGATAAAGAATCACACATAAAGTGGGAGTTGTCACAGTTGCTCTTTGCTGATGACACTGTGCTCTTGGGAGATTCTGAAGAGAAGTTGCAGAGATTGGTGGATGAATTTGGTAGGGTGGGCAAAAGAAGAAAATTAAAAGTGAATACAGGAAAGAGTAAGATAATGAGGATAACAAAAAGATTAGGTGATGAAAGATTGGATATCAGATTGGAGGGAGAGAGTATGGAGGAGGTGAATGTATTCAGATATTTGGGAGTGGACGTGTCAGCGGATGGGTCTATGAAAGATGAGGTGAATCATAGAATTGATGAGGGGAAAAGGATGAGTGGTGCACTTTGGAGTCTGTGGAGACAAAGAACTTTGTCCTTGGAGGCAAAGAGGGGAATGTATGAGAGTGTAGTTTTACCAACGCTCGTATATGGGTGTGAAGCATGGGTGATGAATGTTGCAGCGAGGAGAAGGCTGGAGGCAGTGGAGATGTCATGTCTGAGGGCAATGTGTGGTGTGATATAATGCAGAGAATTCGTAGTTTGGAAGTTAGGAGGAGGTGCGGGATTACCAAAACTGTTGTCCAGGGGGTGAGGAAGGGTTGTTGAGGTGGTTCGGACATGTAGAGAGAATGGAGCGAAACAGAGTGACTTCAGAGTGTATCAATCATTAGTGGAGGAAGGCGGGGGTAGGGGTCGGCCTAGGAAAAAGGTTTGGAGGGAGGGGGTAAAGGAGGTTTTGTGTGCGAGGGGCTTGGACTTCCAGCAGGCATGCGTGAGCGTGTTTGATAGGAGTGAATGGAGACAAATGGTTTTTCATACTTGACGTGCTGTTGGAGTGTGAGCAAAGTAACATTTATGAAGGGGTTCAGGGAAACCGGCAGGCCGGACTTGAGTCCTGGAGATGGGAAGTACAGTGCCTGCACTCTGAAGGAGGGGTGTTAATGTTGCAGTTTAAAAACTGTAGTGTAAAGCACCCTTCTGGCAAGACAGTGATGGAGTGAATGATGGTGAAAGTTTTTCTTTTTCGGGCCACCCTGCCTTGGTGGGAATCGGCCAGTGTGATAATAAAAGAATAATAAAAAATCATTTGTTTTAATGTTATAAATCCTGAACAAGGTGTTAACATATAATTAAAGTTTTTTTAATACAGTACCTAAAAAAAAAACAAGAATTTTATTCTGGTTGTCAAATAAGGTGGATGGCATTATAAATAAAATTGTTTTATTTACAATTTCCTTATGTAGGGCTATAGTTGTTGATACTATTTGGGCATATAAATAAGATTCAAATTTTCTACAAGCAGCATTTTGTGAACAGTCATTAAATGTGAAATTAGTAATAAACTTATTTCAGGAATACCTTCCTGCAAACTTTGGTCGGCTGTCACGATTAAGGATTCTGGAGCTTCGTGAGAATCAACTTAACACTCTGCCAAAATCCATCGCACGCCTTACTAGCCTTCAGCGCCTTGATATTGGACAAAATGACTTTTCAGAATTGGTAAGTTTGATTAACAAGGAGCACTACTTGTTTTAAATGCTTATTCCAGTACTTATTTATGGTAGTGAAGCCAGGTGACATGCAGCACAGACTGAGAATGAGAGCAGTAGAAATGAATTTACATGGGATTATAGTAATAAAAGAAAATAATAATGATGTCAGTAGACTTCTAGAAAAGCAGTGATTAAATGAATGATGGTGAGTGTTTTTTTCTTTGAGTCACCCTTCCTTGACAGGACACTTCCTTTGTGTTAAAAAAAGTGTTAAGAAAAATATAACTAATACTTTGAGCGATAAGGCTTATTAATAATACAACTGGTTAAGAAAAATGACGTAAGTGTAATGTTAGCCAGTAACTTATGGAAATGAAGACATATGTACAATTCATGGTACTAACCCTTTCACTGTCGGTCCCGTAATATTATGGCTTTTAAGCCATTGTCAGTCTGTAATACTACGCCTTCCAGTCTTGGGGGAGAAGATAGTCCTATATATGAGGTATTTGTGGTTGTACAGTGGAACCCCAAGTTTCGTCTGCCCTGAGTATCATACACTTCAAGTTTAGAACCGTTTTTTGGCTAAATTTTGTCCCAAGTTTCACACTGTGCCCCATGTTTTTCGTCCCGCATACCAGAACTGTCTTCCTGCCCGCGCCTGCTCACCTCCCCATGCAGCTGTCATGCGTCAATCTGGCTTTGTTCCTCCTCGAGTAAACATTACGCTGTTTGTAGTCTTAATGGTCTTAATATAAGGTTCAAGGTGAATAGTAAGGTAGGTATGTATCAAAGTGTGGTAGGTATGTAACCCCCATCTGGCTACCCCACTCACATTATATACTAGGCATTTAAAGTGCCCTACAGCAATGAAATGCATATACAGTACACTCATTGCTTACTTTAAAATATTTGTAGTCTTTATGTAGAGCGATAAGTAAGTAAACAAGATGAGTACATAAGAGTGTAGAAGGTTTGCTGAGTTTTGTAAACAAACCAGTTGTTGTTGTTAGCAGTCTGGACATGAGTGGTTTATGTTCACTTTGTCAAGCTGACTGGAAAAACATCTCATGTTATTATTTTGTTATTATCATCATTATTAATATGGCATCTTCAAGACTAATAACACACTCTTAGTGATTTTAATTTGTTCCTGCACACCAGCGCAGGTGCAAGTTGTGGAGTTTAAAGCAGTTAAGTTCAGTGACAAAGTGTAGCAATTAAGCGATAGAAAAAAAACGAAACGAAATAAACTCTTGACAGCAATTGCCGCTCTGCCTATCTTCTGCAAGGTATGTTAATGGTGTATGTACACCACTTCATATGTTCATTATGGTTTTCTTATGAAAGAAGTGATCTAATGCAGTTTGCCTTGCAAACTCTGTTTTCTCTTATACTAACACGTCTGAAGGAGGAACCACTGTCCTTCCCCACCGCCACATACGTAATGACATACACATATTTTATTCATTCTTGAGTGTATATCAGGTTTTTGTGTTATTTATATTGTTTATTATGTTATATTAGATGAATTGTGATAGATAAATAAGCCGTAGAGTTGATAATAGCGTCGTATTGAAGTACTGTTTTGACATGCCTTCTGACAGCAGGAATGGATTAATTGGATTTACAGTGGTTCTTCGTTTTTCGTAATTAATCCGTTCCTGGAAGTGTGACTATTATCGAAATTGATGATTTTTTGAATCCATTTTCCCCATAAGAAATAATGTAAATCCAATTAATTCGTTCCAGACACCCAGAAGTATCAAAAACATTTTTTTTTTTACCTTAAAGATAGATTTACATGCACAAAAGAATGAGCATTCAACATGACAGCTACCTTTATTGAAGGCTGTTGTTAATTAATGGAAGACAGGGAGGAGGAGAAAGGGAAGAGAGGTTATTGTTTGGAAAGGGAATCCCCCTCCATAAGGACTCTAGGTCACTTCAGGGGTCACTTCCCTAGCTTAACCCTTTGACTGTTTCAGGCCCCTCTCTGAAACTGTCATTCTATGTCGCTCAATTTTTGAAAAAATTATTTTTTCTTATGAAATGATAGAGAATCTTTTCCCGATGGTAATGACACGAAAAGTTCGAAATTTGGTCGAAAACTCATGGAATTATGCTCCCGCGAAGTTAGCGGTCTCGGCGACATATGCGTATCGGCGATTTCGCCGACTTTGAGCCCTATTTTCAGCCAATTCCATTGTTCCAGTTGACCAAACTCATAGCTATTTCTTTAGAACTCCATTTTATCTATCAGCTGAGTACAAGAAACCTCCCATTTACTAATTTGGACTACCCAATATGGTGGTCAGAAATTGGCAATTTGGCCAATTTCACGCAAAATAAAAAAGATGCCAATTTCAAAATAGGGTCCAGAATAAACAAGGTAGACATTCGGGGCACTAAAATAACATATGCTCTGTTCATTAGTCACATCTCTAGGCCCCTCTATATTATTATTGCTTTCTATTTTGATTTTTTATTCATAAAAAAAAAATACAAAATTTACTGTTATGCAGACGACTGCATTATTGTAAAAATGGTATAAATAATATCAGTGCACTAGTGAAAGAATATTAGACTCCCAGTTGACGTGTATTGGATGTGTGGTGTGATTTATTTACTCTTGAACATTGGTAAAAATCGAACATTTCCGCTACTTTGAGCTCAGTTTCAAGGTCGTTTTCATCGTAAAAGTAATGAAAATCATCTCTATTTCTGTAATATGTTTTCCATTTTATCACCTAAGACCATGAAAACGCGAATACAACGATAAATACTATATGAAAATACACCTCAAAGTCGGCGTTTTATTCCAAAAAAACGATCAGAGTTTTTTTTTTCTCATTACGCAATGTGTGCTGCAGGATTTTTTTTATGTGGTGCACACTGACCACACAGACCCATTCTCTCACATGTGGGCCTACCAGCTTTCTCCCACTTGATTTGAAGCCGCTAGAATTATTGAGTATATATACGTCAGAAACATTGGCTCGTAAGACGTATTTATACGTCGAAAACAGTCAAAGGGTTAAATATAGATTTACATGCAGAAAAGAATGCCAAATAAATGTAAAGCAATAATAAAATGTGTAAATGAACATTTATTAACATTTACCTTTTATTGAAGACTTGAAAGTTAAGACACATATGCAACATCTGGATATCTTTATTGTAGTAGACGTTTCGCCATCCAGTGGCTTTATCAATACAGATTCTAGGACATAATAGGAAGACAGTAGAACTATATACAAAAGATGAGGTAATCAGTCCCTCGGCCTTGGAGTTAGTGTTCACAGCATCGTGGTGGAGGAGAGTCTGGAGCAAAGGCAAGAAGACTGGCGCTTTTTATAGGCGTCAGTGAATGGGACGGGCAGCAGACGAGGGCAGTCACTGGTAGGCGGGATTCCCCAGTGGAAGTAGGTCCTTCCCAAAGAGATGGGTTAGTTGCAGCAGCCGTGAAGAAGGTCTTGTAGATGTCCTCTGAACCAAGATTCCATGATGTTGCAGTGTCTGACAAGTTGTGCAACTTGCACAACTTGTCAGACACTGCAACATCATGGAATCTTGGTTCAGAGGACATCTACATTCTTGCACAACTTGTCAGACACTGCAACATCATGGAATTATTGAAGACTTGTTGGTGTATGGCAGAGGGAGGGGAGGCGAGGCGAGTTTATTGTTGGAGAATGACACTAATATCAACTCTACGGCTTATTTATCTGTCACAATTCAGCTAATATGACATAATAAACAATATTAATAACATAGAAACATGGAATATACTCTAGAATGAATAAAATGAGTCATTATGTATGTCACGAGAGGTGTTGTGTTGTGTTGTTGTTGGGTATATAAGGGCCACTTCTGAGAGTAAGCCGTCCATAATGGTGATGAAGCAGCGGCTGAGGCGGCGGTATTTTCTGTAGCCCTATATAACTCCAACAACATTGGAGGAGTTGGTATAATTGCTGAATCACTGAAGAAGGCACCTTCTACCACATCACAACCACTACCACCCTCTACCACCATCACTACCACCTTCTACCACAATCACAACTGCTACCAACATCACTACCACTGTCTACCACTATCACAACTGCTAGCACCCTCTACTACCATCACTATCACCATCTACCATAATCACAACTGCTAGCACCCTCTACCACTATCACAACTGCTAGCACCCTCTACCACTATCGCAACTGCTAGCACCCTCTACCACCATCACTACCACCCTCTACCACTATCACAGCTGCTTCCACCACCACCTTCGTATATTTCTACAAACTTTTTCTTAAATTATATGTGTTTCTCACATTCTTTACCAAAGGACTGGCACTAGAAGCTTTCTTTGGAGCCATTGTGATTTATTTAGCAGTTGCAAGCACTAAAACGAATGGAATATTATGAAATGTATCGTGCGAACTTGTGGGATCATCCTCACTCTCTGATAAACAATGGCACACTGGCTGGGAATGGAGTGTGAGGTGGCTCGGGGCTGTGTGTACGCGTCCCAGACAAACGACTATTTGCGAGTTAAACAATGATTCGTGAGCCAGTGTTTTGACGAAAATAACGTTACGATTTTCAAAAATTATGACTATTGAGCCTTACGATTATCGAGGGACCACTGTACATTATTTCTTATGGGAAATATTGCTTCGACTTGAGGACTTTATTGGATGGTTGAAATAGGTAAATAAGTAGTTACTTGTACTCAGTTGATAGAACAAAAGGAGTGCTAGCAAAATAGTTATGAATATAGTCAACTGGAACAATGGAATTGGCCTAAAATAGGGCTGAAAATGGGCGAAATCGCTGATGTGTAAATATCGCCGTGACCACAGGCTTTGCGAAAGTGTAATTCCGTAAGTTTTCCATCAAATTTTGTGCTTTATTTTATTTTATTACCTTTGGAAAAAGATTCACTTATCATTTTGCTAGATTTTTTTTTTTTTTTTAAATTCTTTGAGAGCAAGTTTGAGAGCAGGGGTCTAG